GTGATACTCTTAAGTGAAATAAATAGGACACACATGTAAATACCAAATAGTTTCTCTAGTGTGAGAAACTGAAAGTGTAACTAAGGGCTAAGAGATATAATAGATAATGTGAAATAGGAAAAAGCAGGGCAAAGGGGAAGGGGAAGTGAGAAGGGCAGGGGAAAGGAAAGAAGGGAATGGAACTGTTATGAGAAAATGGAAACAATGTCTGTAAATAGGGAGGGATGGAGGGGTTGAAGTGAGGTCAGGGTAAGGGGGAAAAATGAGAACCAAGAGATATTATGTAAAGGTGCAAATTTCCAATGATGAATGTCATTATATTGTATACCTAAAATGTACCAATAAAATAAATTTTTTTTAAAAGTCCCATTTCTATAAGCTACCTGGTATGCATAATTTTATCCACATAAACACCAACTTAAACTCCAGGCCTTTTAAAATAAAAGAGGCTGTTAGGAATCTGTTCTACTGATTTTAGAATGTCCTCCTGTTCCCACATATTTTTGAGGGTTTGATTTATTGTGTTCTGTGTGCTTGTTTCCTGCACAGGGATGCCTCATTTTCAGTGATGAGCTGAACCACACCTCTATTGTCCTTGGGGCCCGACTCTCAGGCGCAACCATAAGGACCTTCAAACACAACAGTGAGTAACTGTGTATTTATCTAACAGATTCTGATTTGCTACCAGAAGAAAGGAAAGATTATTGATGAAGCTTTTCCTTGTTCTTCAAACTGTCAACTTAGCCTAATGAAACACAGTTATGTTTATATTTACTGCTGGTTTGTTCACCTCTGGTGACCTGGGACAAATGGCTGAAGTGTATTAACCATCCAAGATTGCTAAGTGTAACCCAAACACATTAATCTCACTGTTAATGGTCTTGTAATGTGGCCTCTGAAGACATGATTGATATCTTAGGACTGTCATTTATTATCAGAAGTGTGTTAACTCTCTCCTTCCTGTAACTCTGCCTTGGGAAAGTCCGAAAACTCCATATTATAGTCAGGCAAAAGGGAAGCTTATTTCTTAGTGTAATGCCTCCTTTCACTCTCTCACATACAAAATGTTCAAATACCTAGTCCCCCAAACCATCTCTCAATATGATTAAAATGTCCTCCCTGGCTCAGGTTGGGTGGTTGGGTGATGACGAGGAGGAGGAGGAAGACTATTTCCTCTTTAGAGACCTGACAAAGCAGCGTGGGCAGCCTTTGGAAAACTTAGGAAGGAAGTAGGTGGTGGCAGACACCTGTGCTCCCACCTGGCTCTGCCCCTGACTTGTGTCACTTTTTGGAAATCCTTTAATCCTTCCTGTGTTCAGTTTCAGCAACTAACTAAGGAGGGTGTTGAACTAGATAATAGGTAAGAATTTCTTAGCTGAAGGTTCTGCTTCTACTGCATTGTTATCAGAGACCTCCTCTCTTTCATGTGCATGTACACGCAAGAACACACGCACACGCACACACTCTCTTTTCTCCTTCTAACCACTTTTCTCTCCTGCTGTCCCTACCTCTCCATGTTTCCATGTATCTCTGCCTTGGCATGCTCCTTCTTTCAACATGGTAACAAAGACAGAAATAAGGAAAAGAAGACTGATAGAGAATAGAGAAAGAATTGTCCTAGATCTGTTCTGCCTGCCTCATACCAATCTCAATCCAAAGGACAATCTTCCTAACAGGAAGGAAAGAAAATGCATCAATATATTCTGAGGTGAATCCCCCTCCTTTCTGACATGTAGAGTTGTTAAAATGAAAAATCTCCACTCTCACTGAGTCTGGCTATGCCTTGCTGTAGCCCTTTTAGCCTCTTTCTGAAGACAAATACTCTAAAGTTCAGGGTCTGGTCCTCCAGAAGAACCAGACTGTGTGCCTTTACATCCAATCTGCAATATTCAGTTCAGTGTAATTGAAAATACACTGATTTCACTTACTAATTTTTCAACAAACAATCTTGGTTTTAGTCTATGGTAAGGCAAGTTAAATTCCTTCAGTTTTGCTTGATTCATTAATTGTCAAGTGTCATAGGGTCAAATTATTTTGGCAATGTTGGGCATTACATTTGTAGTACACATCTTTTAGGGCTTCAAAATACACTTGCATAAAATCAGAGCAAACACATTCAGTATTAGTACAAATATACTTTGTAAGCCTTTTTGAATCTTTAGCATGGCAGCTGATTAGTGATCAAAGCCTCTGTTTACTTGGGAAAGAATAAAGGAGATAATCAACAGTTATTTAACTGTTGATGGTCAAATACAATAATCTAACTCCTGTGAAGATACAATCTGATTGTTATCTATATGGGACAAATGTCTGGTTCATTGTCGCTGTTAATGTCTTACATCTTTACTCCATTCTGCTGAAAGCACAACAGAGTAATCCAGGGAACATCTTGAAAGATCAATACCTGTATCCACCTCCAGACCAGCTGAGTCCAAATATTTGAGTTGAGCTATCCCTGGTTCCTGCCAATATGCCCTGCAATATATCATCAGGAACACACTGTCTATTAACTTCATACTTCTCATTATTCTTTTATAAGACAGTGTCTTAGCTATTAGGGAGTCTACAATCTAGCAGGAAAGACAGAGAGGTATGCAGGTAGCTATATTGAGGATCAAAGGGAACAAGGGCCATGTTGACAACAGACAGTGGTTAAGAGTGCAGGCTTTGGCCACAATCCCTTTTAACACCCACAAGAATAGCTACAAAAAGTTGACAAACATAAATGTCAGCAAAGGTATAAAGTGATTGGAATTCTGGCCAATTGCTAGTGGGATGTAAAATGGTACAATGTCTTTGGAAACTCTTTGACAGAGTATTATAAAGCTAAAAATATCTCTATACTATGATTCACCAACCCTATACTAAGTATTTAGCCTTAAGAAATAAAAATCATGTCCACAAAAAAAGGCTTGTATAAGAATTTATAGCAGTTTTTTCATAATAACCAAATCCAGAAACAGTTTAAATATCTATGAACAAGAAAATAAGAACATTTATTATTACTTATTTACACATAAAATATCACTCTACAACAGAAAAGAAAGTATACAAATACTGTGCAATGTGGGTGAATCTCAAAAAAAATATTTTAATGGAATAAATCAAACATAAAAGAATATGCATACTGTGCTCACTTCAGCAGCACATATACTAAAAGAATATACATACTATATGAATCCATTTATAACAAATTCAAGAGCAATCTATGGCGATAGATATTGTAGAAATGCTTACATCTGGTTGTGGGGGCAGGGATTGGTGGGAAGAGGCATAAAAGAACTTTCTGAAAGTGATGGAAACATGGTATACCTTAATTAGAATGAAGGTCACACTCTTATTAAAATTAACTGAATTGTACACTTAAGATCTATACACTTTCCTTCAAGCAAATTTTGTCTAAAAATCTTTAACAAATAGCATACATAAAACGAAAATAATTGACTCACTGTTTTGTTAAAAAAAAAAAAAATGCAGCTTTGGACCCAAGTATTTATGTCCTCATTGTATAGCATACTATCCTGTAGTCCTAGCCAACTTACTTAACCTTCTAGATCTCCACTTATTTATTTCTAAAATGAGGATAATTATGGTACCCAACTCATGATTTGTTGAAAGAGCACATAAAATTGCTTAGCACAGAGCCTGGCAATGGAAACTACTGAATTATTTGTAGCTACTATGTTGTTATTAGTAGTATTCTCATCATTGTCATGATCAGTGTCCCTGAGGGACAGCAGAAAACATTATGATAAATCAGAAGGCAGAGTTCATTTCACCTTGAGGATTGCATGAAATGGATAGTATTTGCAGTAGGCACTGAAGGAAGGACTAAGAGAATGTTCAACAGAGAAGGAGACATTTCAAACGGGAATAATTTGGAGTGTGCAGAGGGCACCAAGACTTTCAGTATGGCCTGAGTGTGGGGTCAAATGCCTGGAAGAGAGAGACTGAAAACTAAGACCTTGGACGGGTAGTGCAGAGCTCTTTAAATGTGCATGCCAGTTCAAGAATCATCAAAAGGTGCTTGAGCAGCATTGCTCCATACTCTATGTCCATATGTGAACTGGATTTTCTAAAACATTTAGTAGTCTTCCCATGTGCCCAGTGGAGACAGAAACAGAGAAAAAGCTTTGAATTGAGTTAAACCTTTGAATAACTGAATGAAAAACATACTTATGGATTGTGAAGATGGTCCCCAAAGCATTGCTCTCTCACACTTTTTCTATCCTTCATGTGTTATTGTTTTGGAATTCAGTCCCAAGTCTAGAATTGGCTAGTCTTCCATTGGAGAGCCTACAGAGATGATAGATAGATTAGATAAACTAGATAGATAGATGATAGATAGATAGATAAATAGATAGATAGATAGATAGATAGATAGATAGATAGATAGATAGATAGATAGATAGATGCATGCTAGATAGATACAGATAGATAGACAGGGAGATAGAGATATCAACTGGGAAGCTAAGTATAAGTTTTGTTAATCCCTGACTTAGCATTTATTTTCCAGAATATTGTCTTTATTATTAACATTTGTAATGTAATTTATTAATCAAAATAATTCCCATTTTACTTATTTCTAAAATACTTTTATTTTTAACTTATGCATAATAGTTTTCCATACTTACAGGGCACAGTATGACATCCATCACCTCAAAACACTTGTCATTCATTGTGTTGCAAACATTCAATTCCTCTCTAATCAGCTTCAGGCCACTGGGGTAGCAGTCTTCCAAGATGGCCACCAATGATTCCCACCTCTTGGCATTTATGCCTTTATGTGGTCTGTCCATGCATTGTGTCAGGGTTACTCTGTGTGATCAAAATAATCAGATTAGATCACAAAGACTGTGGCTTCTGCCTTCCTCTTTCTATCCTGGGTCAATTTTGAAGGTACTCGGTTACACTGAAAAATAACAGTTACACTGAAAAATAACAGCCTTACCAAGAGGCTCATGAATAGGACATCCTGACTGATCTCTTGCTTCTGTCAAGCCTCCAAATGACTGTAGCTCTCAGTCCACACCTGACTGAAGCCTCACTTCACCCAAGGCTCCACATTGCTGATTCATAAAACCTATGAGATAATAAATGCTTGTTGGCTTAAGCTGTTAAGTATTGGGATAAATTATTATAGGGTAATAAATAACACAGATTCTCTGGCCACTATTGCTGGGCGCAAGCTGAACATCCAAGCATGAATTCTTACTTCCTCCCCCAGGAAGGATTTGAGTTTGTCTAATGCTTCTAAACTTCTTAAAATTCAGTTTTCTACTTATTGATGCTACATGGCTACGTTCTAACTTATCATGTTAGCACTCTTCTCTTGGGAATGAGTGAGGAGGTAGCATGAAGTGATTGCTGTATTGCTAAGCAGAAAGATGAAGAAAAGAGCAAATATATTAACTGTCCATATTCCCATCTCACAGAGTTATGAAAAATAAGCCTTCTCTTAACACAGATTTATAGAGCAGATAGATGCCAACAACAAAACACATAAATGCTAAAACAAATATTCTAACAAAAAAAGTAAAATACAAATGATTTATAAGAAACCATGCAACAGGAAAATTTCTAAGCAGAATACTGCAAAACAACTTTATTTTAAATATTCAAATGAAATGATAGACCCACAGAGAGTGTCTTTCCACCAGTTCTACTGCTTACTGATAGCAAGGACACAGAACAGTTCAGTTTGTTCCTCCTGACCCAGATATTTGGTCTTGTCTTCAGACTCCAATCTTAGGATAACAATTTCAGTGAAATTACACCCAAAGGAGAACACAGTAACTATACCAGAAAGAAATCAGATCACACCTTAACAGCTGAAAAAACTAAGGTCATTAATAAGGAGCAGATAGATATTGTGTGTATCCAGATGTGACACCTGAAAAGGATTCAACATAATTTACGTAAGATGCAGATCAGAACACAATCTTATCCTCAGACAACCCCATATTAGGAGTGTTCTCTTAAAGACAATGAAAATATTTCATATATTCTCCAAATATGTCAGTATCATAAGAGACAAAGCAAGGCTGAGTGAATGGTCCATAATAAAGGATACTGAAGAACTGTGATAATTAAGTGCTAAACCTGGGCCTAGACTGGATTCTCAAAGAAATGGAAAAATGCTACAAAAGATTCATGGTCCAATTCACAAGGTTGGAAGATGGACAATAGTATTAGGTAAGAATCATGTATTGATGTTAAATATAATGAAGTACATAACTATACAACTTATTGCCTGTGAGCTTAGAATGGATTTTACATTTTTAATGGTTATATAGAGAACAAATAAGAATATGTGATAGAGACTATGTGCTGTCCACAAAATCTAAAATATTACTCTCTGAAACTTTTTAGGAAACATTTGCTGACCCTTGCTGTAGTTGTATAAAAGAATACCCTTATTCTTAGGGAAGATACACTGAATTATTGAGGAGGTAATGGCCATAACACATACAGCTTAGTTTCCTTTCAGAAAAAAATTGATTAGTAGACAGATAAGTAAAGATGGGATAACAAAGCAAATGGCAAATTGGGTAAAGTTTTAATAGATTAATTTAGATCAAGTATGAGTGTTCTTGTGGTATTCTTATTCTTATAGTTTTTAAAAGTTTGAAATTTCTGAAATTCGATTTTCAGAATTAAATTTTTGTCCTCTAATTTTACAAGTCTCTTAAAACATTCAGTAACTTATTCTTCACAATACTTGATTTCAAATTATACTACACAACTGTAGCAACATAAACAGAATGGTACTTGCACAAAAATAGACATGTGGAGCAGGAAATACAATAAAAGATACAGAAACAAACCCACAAGACTACAGCCATCTGATTCTTCACCAAAGGACTAAAAACATCTTGAAGAAAAGATAGCCTCTTTACAAGTGGTGCTGGAAAACTGGATGTCCACATATAAAAACTGATAGATAGATCCCTACCTCTTACCCTGCACAAAAATCAATTCAAAATAGATCAAAGAACTAGATATAAGACTTAAAGCTTTGAAAAAACTAGAAGAAAACACAGGTGAAACACTTGGAGTCACAGACACTAGCAAAGACTTGCACTTAGAACTCCAATAGAATAGGAAATAATAAAAGAATCAACAAATGGGATTACAGTAAATTAAAAAGTCACTTCATAATGAATCAATCAACAGAGTGAAGAGACAGCCAACAGTATGGGAGGAAATCTTTGCCAGCTACTCTTCCAACAGAAGATTAATATTTAAAGTAGATAAAGAACTCAAAACTTAGCACCTCACAAACAACCCAATGAACAAATGGGCAAATGCCTTGAATGGACACTTTACAAAAGAAGAAATACAAATGGCCAAAAGGTTATGAAAAAAATGTTCAACATTTTTAGGGAAATGCAAATCAAAACTACACTGAGATTTTACCTCATCACAGTCAAAATGGCTATCATCAAGAAGACAGAAAAGAAGTGCTAGTAAGGATGCTGGAGGAAAAGGAACACTTCTACACTGCAAATAGGAATATAAATTAGTATGGCCACTATGGAAATCAATATGGAGGTTCCTCAAAAAAATTAAAACCTGAACTACCATATGATTCAGCTGTACCACTACTTGAGATATACCCAAAGGAATTATCATCCTTTAGGGTTACCGGCATACTCATGAATATTGCAGCACAATTCACAATAGCCAAGATATGGAGCCAGCTTGGCATGTCTGTAAACAAATGAATGGATGAATAAAATGTGGTATATACACAATGAAATATAGTTCTTCCATGAAGAAGAATTTTTTCTTTTGCAGGAAAATGGAAAATGGAACTGGGGATCATCAAGTTAAGTAAAATAAGCCAGACTCAGAAAGAAAAGTATCACATGTTTCCCTAATATGTGGAATCTAAAAAAAAAAAATGTTGCATGAAAATAGAAGAGAGACTTAGACAAGAGGGTGACAAGGAGAAAGGGAGAGGGGTAAAAGAGAGAATAATAGGAAGAATGATCAAAATATGTTACATGCATGTATGAAAATACCACATTGAAACCAAATATTTTATAAAATTAATAGACACAATAAAATACATTTTAAAAACTGAGTAAAATTGAAAAAAACAATTATTCTTCATGCCCACCCTTTGTACTTCAATAAAATAGATCATAGTTATCACCTACATCTGTGTAATAAATGTTAGCTGTGGTTATTTTATACAAGCAACTAACACTTATTGAGAATTTACTTCATGGTAGATGGTGATATAATGGTATTCTCTTATATATTTATTTATTTAGTCCTGTGGAAAATTCCATGAGACAAGAATTAATTTATAAATGAAGAGATTCAAGATTGGTGGTATTAAGCAATTTATCCAAGATTATACCAATACTCCATGGTGAAGCCTGGAATTAATTGGGATTTGTGTTCCATGATGGTCAGAGTCCTCATCTAACCATACAAATCTATTATGTGTGAGCTGCTATTCTTCCTTTACTTTACATAGAGAGTAGATTAATGGTTCCCCCAACACACACATTCAAGATGTTCACATTCTAATTCCCAGAAACTGTGAATGTTATATGGCAAAGGGATTAAGGTTGCAGATGGAATCCAGTTTGCTAACCAGCTAACCTTAAAATAAAGAGCTTGTCTATGTGGGTCCAGTACAATCATACAGGCCCTTAAATATAGAAAGGAAAGCAAAAGAATGAATGTCAAAATAATGCTATGTAAGAAAGATAGTCATTGCTAGTTCTAAGGATGGAAGAGGGCAATATGCCAAGGAATACTGGAAGCCTCAGGAAGCTGAAAAAGCATGGAAATGGATTCTCCTCTAGAACTTCCAAAAAGGAACACAGGCCTGCTGACCCCTGGATTTTAGCTCAGCCAGACTCATTTCAGACTTCAGGCTTCCAGAATTGTGAGATAGTAAGTTTGTGTTGTTTTAAAGTCACTAAATATATACTACATATTATCTCACAGCAGCAACAGGACACTAACACACTTTCATTCTTAGGTACACAAGGCCCTTGCTCTCACTCGTCCACACACATTGCACAACTTTGTTGTGTGTAAATTGTTGTTGTATTTAAATTGCAAAAACAGTGGCCCTTGGGAGCAGGGTTATTTCCAGGGTCCTCTGAATGACTTCTTTCTTGAGAGGTGAGGGAAATGAGAAGGAGAGGGAAAGAATAAGGCAATAGAATATATGGTATCAGTTGCTTCTGGCTCTTTTCTGCTCTGCTTTGCCAGAATGATACTAAATGTTTCCCTATCTTGTATAATGATGCTTTGATCCTTAGTATTCATGCAAACAGATGAGTTATATAGTGTGGATGTTGTTTAAGGATCTGCAGAGGACGTAAAGTTGCCTTCCTGTGTCTGTATGATGCATACAACCAGGCCAGATGGGAGCTAATAACTTGTAGAGCTGGTTCTTATGAATGATCACCTATGCTGGAATGTTCTGGAACATAGGGATTATGCGATGCCACTCAACTCCAAACTAGTGATGCTCTCTGGACTATTCTCCACCTCACATTATTTACTTACTTATAATTTCTTCTGATTTTTAGAAGAAAGAAGGTTCTATTTTTATGTAGTACCAGAAGATATTCTTTGCTACTTGGGGTGACTATAAATTAATCAGAATCCTTTTTTATTAGAACATACTTGTAGTCCATAATGTTCACATGCCTTGTGAGGAGTTGGTGTGTGTGCATAACACATCCTAATTCCTTTTTTCATCCCCTTTCATTCCCTACCT